TTTCACTTGCTGAAGGCAAAACTAAAGGCAGAAAGACCTACAAACAAAGAACAACTGAAGACAGCTGCAGTTAGAGCCTAGAAAAGCATCAGAAAGGAGGAAACCCAGTCTTTGGTAATGTCCATGGGTTCCAGACTTCAGGCAGTCATTGCCAGTAAAGGATTCTCAACAAAATACTAAAAATGAACATTTTATTTATGATTATATTCATTTGTCCAATTATATTTGAGCCCCTGAAAATGGAGGGACTGTATAAAAATGGTTGCAATTCCTAAAATTTGTACTTGATATTTATGTTCAACCCCTTGAATTAAAGCTGAAAGTCTGGACTTCAGATCCATTTGGACTGTTTTGTTTTAATTTATTCTGGTGGCTTATGGAGACAAAAGTATGAAAATTGTATCTGTGTCCATATATATATATATATATATATATATGGACCTAACTGTATATACTGTACATGATTATAGTAGATAAAACGTTTTAAACTTCCACAGCTTGCTCCAGATCAGGGCCTTCAACCAGCAAACCAGCCAACAGATATGAGGCGGCGTTGTGAGGAAGATGCCCAAGAGATGGTCCGCCAAGCCAACACCTCCAACGGTCAGCCATGTGTACAGAACGAGAGCCTAACAGACCTCATATCCCGACTCACCGCTATCCTCCTACAGATCAAAGTAAGACATCAACATCACTCTATTATTTCCAAACTTTTTAGAGAATCTTTTGTGAGACTGTACTACTTCTTTTACAGTGCCTGGCAGAAGGAGGAGACCTGAATTCTTTTGAATTTAAATCTTTAACAGATTCTATTAATGATATAAAGAGTTCTATAGACCCTTCAAATATCAGGTATGTGTGTCAGGCTTTAACGTGTCTTATTCTGCTGTTATGTTTATCATTTCCATTGTGTCAGCTTGTATTTCATGTATTTTAGACCAGTGTTTACCTTTACATTTATTACTATTATCTGGTAAAGCTGTTTCAGTAATACAAACACAAAAAATATGAGACGACATTCTCTATAATCAAGTAAGAGGACTTTTGTTTAAAAAAAAAAAACTGTAATTTGGCTGTTAGGCCCTAAACCTCTCCCGCGACCTTTCTCATATGAAGCAGCAGCCCAGCATTCAACACTTGCAGGTGTGTTGGATTCCTGTGCTCACCCCCTGCACCCTTTGAGTCCATCTTACCATGTCCTATAGTGCCGAAGAGGCCTAAGCATGTGCTGAACATTTTGATGGAGGCTGTGGCACCTTAACTGAGAAAAGATAAGACCACAGGAGTGGTAAGTATAGTACCTTTTCTCTTGCAGGACCTTGATTGTGGCAATCCCCTTTGATGATAATGGGGCCTGGAATCCATGCTTCACCATGCAATCTTGCTTTAGTGTAGACATCCCTAGTAGCTTATACCTTTTGCTCCCCAGTTGCTCTGTTCAGCAGTTAGTAGCAAAAGAAATACCCTGGGTAAGCTTTGAGCCACCATAGTCATAGCTTACCTAGGGCTATGAACTCCCTTTACTATGGTGCTGATTGGCCCAGCAATATATGAAGTAATTTCCTTGGCTCCAGGTGCTTAATGGAGCCACAGGGAATCAAAGAAAAGTATATGAAGCTGAGGATTAATGCAAATCTGTTGTATTGTCCTGAATGGGCAAAGCACAGGTTTATATTCAAGTTGAACTTCAATCTTACCTTCAGTCTTGCACATTTGTACAGGCTCCTCTCCTGTACTGAAATTGCTTACTCTGATTTCTCTGCACACTGGGCTTCTGGGAATGCACACAGGGAATGCAAACAGTGTGCATTCGAAGCTCCAACAAGTCTAATAATGCCTGTCTTATTTTTCCTGCCTAGAGGGCATTCAACATTTATTTAGTTTGGGGTTTTTTTTTTGTTTTTTCAGTCCAGCCTGATTTTCCTTGGCCTGCCCCTTTCTTTTACTGGATTTCCATTTTTTTCAATCATAGACTCTTTATCATATGTGGGCATTACCTATGAACGCAGACTCCTCCCGAATGACATCAGCCAAGGCATTTTGTTACTTTCATAACTTTTTCCAAGGCCCAGCCCATTGCTTGCATAAGGGCTGAGGGCTCATAAGTACTGGGGCAGGGTGTTTAGGAAGATATATACAGTACCTTGCTGGACCTCCCCACCAGCCATGATCTGCCAGTGGTAATATCTGTGGTTCCTTCCTGGGGTCTAGGCCCAAAAAAGAACCAATAGGTTGTAAGACATTGTAAAAAATGTGAAACTAAAAGCCTTGACTAAGAACAGACCACATAAGATGTGAATATTTTTTTGTTTTGTTTTTATTTTTGTTTTGTTTTTTTATTTCCCAACTAGCGACCTGAAAATGGAATAGATTCCTCCATCCACACAAACAAGGTGGAGGTAGGATTCCCCCTAATTCCCCCAACCAGGAGATTGTATTCTGAAAACAGGACTTGACACACTCAAAATACACTAATCGGCAACTTCAGCTTTTCAACTTGTTCATCAAACCGAAATCGATCTAATGATCTTCTGTCAAGCGGGTACAGCTACATACTAATAAAGATTCAGCTGGTCCTTCCCGAATCCTGATCTATCTATAGCCACCTTTTAGTTAGAAAAAAAAACACCTAATTTACCTCATCTAGTTCTGATTTCATTGTTCAGCTAAGGCCGTGCCTTTGCAAATCCCTTGTCCAGTCAGTGTCTCTACGACCGTGTGTGTGTATGTATGTGATACATATATATGTATATATATGTATATATATGTATATATATATACATACACACACACACACACACTGCACTACTCTTGCTGGCATTGTTCTTACCAGTAAACATAAGTTCTTAGTTGCATTAGAAATTTTGATGACCTGGAATGTGATGGCACCCATCTGTGTTTTTTCTTGCAGCTGTTTTCAGAATAATGTGGAGATCCACGTAGCACATATCCAGAGTGGCCTGAGTCAAATGGGAAATCTCCATGCCTTCTCAGCCAATAATACCAACAGGGACTGACAATCTGGCAGACTCGTCTATAGAAGAAACATGGACTCTTCTTTGTATTACAAATGAACCAGCATTACAAACTTGACATATTTTATTTACTTTGTCCTATGGATACACACGGCAAAGAATAGTTGGAGTTTCCAGGCCGCTTCCCACCCAGATACAGATATTGTGGAAAGAGCACTCTTCGTTGTTTCCGTTCTTCATTGTCGGTTTTTTCTTTGTCATCCCTTCTCACTGTCCTGCGTGGCTTGTGGTGAGGTTATTGTTTGCCATCGGCTGCATTATTTGCTTTCACTTCATGAGATCAAATGAGAATTTTAGGTGGTCATCCTATGAGCTGCAAGTGTTTAGGTGAATCCCACAAACCAACCAATGTCCATGCACTCCCATGGCAAACACATTTTTAAAATGAAGCTGTCCTCTTAAGCAGAAGTGGGAGCCATACTGTGCACAGCAGGTATAAAGACTCCTTTATCTGCTGCGTTTGATATTCCAGCCTTCCTTCCATCAAAGGGAAGTCTGGTTGCTAGAGGTTACTGAAAGCCCAATTTAACTTTTCCTTTAAATCAGTCAAATATATTACAGGTGCATCAAATCAAAAGGTGTCCAGAGTCTGTTTTCTTTAGTTGCCACAGTTTGAATAGATAACCTGTCCCCTGCCAGCATGCTGTAAATAAGGACCCTTGCTCTGTGTGGAAGCTGTGGTCTCTCTGCATTGGTACAACTTACCCCTTGCTGATTTAGAACTAGAGCTCTCCTGTCAGCTTGATTTGAGAGCTCTAGCTCTGCCTCAACTGGGGTCTGCCAGACCTCTGCAAAGAGATCCCCGTTTTCACATGAAGCACAAAGATTCTTTTCTGCAGCAGGCTTTTCTACCTTTTTGATTGACCTGGAATGTATTTAGCTGATTTAAACTGAAAATTTAGTTGGGCATTAACTGTGCACATGCTCTTGATCTCATCCAGTAAGTTTCCAGTTCATGACCAGTGACCTGGCCAATGGGAGAAACCACAGCACCCAGTGGAGGACCAGTTCTCAAAACACCTGAACATCTCAGGCACCAGGGAATATCTCAGACACTGCAGTATTTTCAAGAGCGCAAAGGCTAAGATCACTGCCTGTTGCAAAGGTAAGTAATAAATCTCTCCCTTCACAGGTTGTCTTTGTTTCTTTTCTTATTTTTGTTGTAGTGACAAGTTCACTTTAAAGATTGGGTATGCTTTGAACAATGATTCTGACACTATTGTGGGAACATTTGCTCGGCATTGGAATGTTATTGGCTGGATGCCATTTTTATGTGTTTTATGTATGTAGAAGATATTACGATTCTGCAGATATAGGATTTTGTATGGTGAGGTCATATTTATATGTGCTAGGGCTTCAAGGTGCAGCTTGTGAACATCAGCACTGATATCTGAGAATGAATATACATGCCTGCACCCTGCACAGTGGTCTTTTGAGAGTGGAAGAACAGATTGTGCTGTTTGCTTAGTTGACTGGCGCACTCTCTTTTTTTTTTTTTATTAATAAAGGCCATAGTATTCAACGCTAACAATTTAAAGAGCACAGCAGCTGCCTGCTGATGAAATTTGCTCTGTGGGCAGCCCTGTTAGCAACACCCAGATTGACAAAAGTTGATTGTTCAATCACAAGTCGTTTAGTGGAAAATTGACAGCTGAGATGTAGGAAGTGTTTAGGTATTCTGCCAGCCGGTGGTGCTGACTGGCAGCATAGCGCAGCCTGTGGTGGGAGAGTCATCTATCCACTATCTTTAGTATGGGTGGAGGAATCTGCTAGATTTATTTCATTCAAATCCCCAGGCTGAACAAAGGACATATAAAATATTTTTGGTTGAAGACTGAAAATGGATAAAAACCTTGGCCTGGTTTTTGTGGCGGTCTGTTTCACCTCTGATCTATCTCTTCACTATCCCCTGTGTCACCAACACAGAAAGTGGTCAATAATCCACCCAACTGATGCACTGATGTCAAACCAACCTTGACAGAGGTTCTAACACTCCTGTTTACTATTCAATACAAGAGTTTTAGATGGAGTTACTTAATCACTGTATTCAGGCAAGAGAAACCTTTAAAGTAAAGCTGGCCATACATATAGAATTGTATCCCGTTGCAGAGATTCTCTTCACTTCCTGTCTCTGGGAAATCTCCTTAGCAGGTACGCAGGCTAGAACAAAAACCTGATGTATATCACTTCATCCAAAGTTAAAGGAAATAGTTTTGCGTTCTGTTACAATGTCTTTGATCAGAAAACGTCTTCACCGTCACTGCTGGTTGGGAAAGTTTGTTAACCCTGTATCTGTAGATACATAAATGGTGGATACAGCATATAGTCAACACCGGTCTATGACGTCTCTTTGCAGACCTGTGTATCCTTGGCTGTTTACCTTGTAAAAATTGTGTATTGGGTTGTTTAATATAGGTGGTCAAAAAAGAATTCTATGGTAAACCATTTCACCTTTGTTTTATGAGCTAGATTTAGGAAAATGTACCTACTCAAATTTTAGAAACCACAAATAATGAAGAATTTTATGGTATTGTACAGCTCTATGACCACACAGGGCCTCACACCCTGTAGTGCTTGTATAGTTTAAAGAGAAAAAAAAAAAAACAAAGAAACAAAAATATTGTTTTCTTGTGTATTTTGTATCATTTTTTATTTGAGGGGGTTATTCATTTTATATACCATCTGGCTAAATCAACTTTGACAAGAAAAATAAAAATCAAAGGAGCAGGGTGGAAAATTGTTGTTGCTGCAGGTTGTCACAGCTGTGGACGATGAAAGCCAGCAAAGAAAACTCCTCCATCCACACCATTTAGAGCAGATGGAGAAATCGATTAGATTTTTTCTCACTGGGCACACTGGCTGAATTTGTAAAATCTATCCATGTATGGCTAGCTTAAAGGATAAGTTCACCTTTTGTAACATATTACACCCATACAGGGTGTAACATGCCACAAATGCACCAGCCTCTGCTCCCCTTGAGTCCCTGTTTTGACAGAGAGCGGGGGATTTTTGCTGTCACAATCCAAAAACACATGGCTGTGCGGGGCTCCAATTGTCTGGCAGCGTTATTCATTCAGTGTTTTGTGAATGTGAAAACTACAAGTACTGGCAGCCTTTGCGGCTGTCGGCTTGTAGTTCTCAAACTACCACGGCCCTGTGTAGTGCTCTGATAGTCCATTGATTCTTCCTGTCAGAGTGAAACTGTCTGCCCATAACTGAGGTATGAACAGACGGATACAGACCGTCTGCAGGATGCTGGCATTACACCCATAATGTATATTTTTTTACCTGCAAAAAAAGAGCATTTATTTATTTTTTGTAAAGGTGAACTAATCCTTTAAAGGCTAAGTTCACCTTTCTGATCATGTTACATGTTATTTAGGGTGTAACCTGTTCAGCATCCTGAATTTTGTGCATGAACTACTGTCTGCCATTACGGCAGTAGTCCATTGAGCTTCCTGCAGTTCAGTAACTGTCTGCCTGTATGGGAGGTACAAGCAGACAGCTGACTGAGAGTCTGCAGCAGCCTGGAATTGTACCCACGATCTGCTGATCACAGGTGCTAAGCTCTTCAGGCTCCTTAGAAGAAAAAAAAATATAATATGAACATTTTTTACCTGCCAAAAACGTGCATTTTTTTTAATAAAAAGTGAACTTATCCTTTAAGCCTATCCATCTGTTCTTTTCTGTGTAGTAGATGGACATGTTCAATGAGAAGCAATGATGGAAGTAAAACAGGCCTTATCAAAGTGTCTTCCATAATGGGTGTCAGTTTTTCTCCATGACAACCAGTTGGTAAAACAGAGTGCAGTGTTCTGTGCATCTTGAAGGTGAGTTCTGTTTCTCTGAGTTTATTACTTGATCCAACGAGAGCCCCCTTTGTGGCATTTTACAAATTCTATCATTTTGCAAATTGGATGCATGGGTGCACACATAGGACAAACGAGCTAAAAGTCTTCATTGTTTTGCAGATCAGTTTGCTTGTCTGTTGCAAACCGATGTGTGTGTTTTAATGTTTTTTTTTATCCTGAATTGCATTCAAAATCCTTAACGTGTATGTGGGCCCTTACGGTTTTAGCTGCACATACACTTTAATGGACCATTTTAATTAAATGCATTTTGAAGGAAAATATACACTGGGATCGAAGAATGACTTGCAAGACCTATGCCACCAAGACAATGGGATGATGTATGCGAAGATGGAAGTACGCTTCTGGTAAAAGGCGGAGGGGATGGTGCGTGCGTGCATGTGTGTGTGTTTGTATGAATGAGATTTCAATATAGGTTGTTTAAATAAACATTTTTAATCTGTTGAAAATATTGGTTTGCAAAAGTGGATTGAGTGTGTTTTGTTTTTTGTTTTTTATTGGGTTTGTGCAAGGTGGTATAATTAATGAAACTGTATCATATGCATGGGTTTTATTATAAAACTTTGGCCTGCTCTGTTTAAAATGAAATAATTTATGGTCACTTTGATCTGTTTTTTTTTTCCCTACACAATGACTGATCTCCATTCAGTAAAATATATTTTGATGCCTTTTTATCTCACACTGTTTTTTCAAAGTGGAATTTTTCATTTGAGCTATATGTGTGGGAAGGGTGACTTAAATCTGAACTCCAGGCTGATATAAGACAATGAATGCATATAATTTTTTACTATTTTTATTTGCTAGCAGTGTAAGTACCAGATTTTGGCCTGTTGTCAGCTTCTTGACGTTACTGTATAGCAGCGCTTAGGCTGGGAGATGGAGAAGCAGTACTAGGAGTTAATCAGGTTTGCTGCAGTGTAAGAGGCATGCTGCTAGGTGAGCTCATCTCTGCTACTGTCTGGTGCTTCTTTCATTGCCCAATCAGAGGCTGAAGAAGGGTCAAGACTTGTGTGTGTACCTTAACTACAATAAAGAAAAATCCAGTCTGTCATGGCAGACAGCACTGTGCTTGGTGGCAGAGCTCTGTAAAATTCAGAACCGGATAGACAAAAC